TTTAAAGCTTTACTTTTTATAGTCAATAAGCAACTACTTGCTAATCTCTAACTCCTAGGAGAGACCCACCTTCCTAACGAGCAATTTCCTTCCTTCTCTTGCAGGATCGAGTTCCAGAACAAGTTCTACACTGGCACGGGCTTCAAGTTCCTGCCGTTCTCCTTTGACACCATCCGCGAGGGGAAGTTTGATGATTAGCATCCCCTGAGCTGCACCCCGAGCTTCGTGTCCCATCTGTGTCCCCATAGCGAATATAACTTATTGCAGCAGTCTGAGTGTGACCGGGAAGCTGGGAAGCCGCATGCTTCGACGTTCCCTGGTTAATGAGTGATCCTGATCAAGAAACTTCTCCCTTAAGTTACCGCTGCTGCGGCACGGCGTGTCGCTGTGGTGTAACTGTGCTGCTGTGCTGTGAATTTCCTGCCGGGTCTGTCAGGGTACTGTGAGAATAACGTGGGCTGAGGAGCACAGGGACAGGAGGGTGCAGTACCTCCATCCTGCATAAAGCCTCCTGCTCAGGAAAAGAGATTTCGGAGGAAGTTCTGTGTGCGGTTCCTTGGCGCGGACACGGAGCTGCCCGGTGTGCTTCCATGCCTGCGTTGCTTGCGGCGCCCCGTGCTGCCCGAGCTCCGTGCCGGGCGGCCCTGCGGGGCGCTGAAGATGTGCGTGGCAAAGCAGCTCCGCTCCGTCCCCTGCCGACGCCCCTTTTTCTCCTGTGCAAATTGTGGGTCAGCCCCCGCCCTTCTCAGCCCGATGAGGTGCAGTGCTGTGCTGTGTTGTGTTGTGCTGTGTTCTGTGCTTTGTGTAACTCTGTCAGTTTTAGTTGTTGCTGTATTGTGTGGGAACAGAGTAGAACAGTAACACAAATCCCCCCAGCCTGGAGTTGAGCCGGAAGCCGTGGAAGAGCTGCGCGCATCTCCTGCAGCGCTGCCGTGTGCGTGCGGGGCGGTGCAGGCTGCGGAACGAGACCCACCGCGTGACTGGGGATCGCTGTATGCGTTAATGTAAGTCGCCGTGCATTAAAGGCGCTGCACTGCAGGCTGCGGTCTCTTTTTGCTCCCAGGGATCGGGCAGGAGCTGCGGGTCCTGCGGCCGTTCCTCCGGCCTGTTACCGGAGGTGCGGGGTTGCGGGCGCTGCTTTTTCCTCCCCGTTTCCTGCAGCGCCGCGGACTGACAGCGCCCCCTTCCGGCCGGGAGGGAGAGGGTCACCACGCCCCGCCCACCCCCATGGCCCCGCCCATCTCCATGGCCCCGCCTCCGTTCTGCCCCACCCCGGTATCCCTCCCGCCTCCCGTCGCTGATTGGCTCTCAGTGGTCCCGCCCCCTTTCGCCGGCGGCGCGGATTGGCGGAGCTCGGCACGGCCCGAAGCGAGCGGCGTGGCCATGGCGGTACCACTGCGGGTGGCGGCGATGGCGGCGGTGCTGGCGGCGGCGCGGGCTCCGTTGCCCCCCGAGCTGCGGGGACCGGTGGGGGACGCGCGGCAGGAGGCGGCGGTGCGGGCGCTGGCGCGGCGCCTGCTGGGCTCCAGGGCCGCCGCTGTGGCGCTGTCGGTGGACTCGGCGTTGGCGGCGGGCGGGCCTGACGCGTACCGGCTGCGCTCCCCGCCCGGCGGCGCCGTGGCCGTGGCCGTGACGGGCTCCAGCGGCGTGGCGGCCGCCGCCGGCCTCTACCGGTACCTGCGGGACTTCTGCGGCTGCCATCTCTCGTGGTCCGCGGCTCAGCTCCGCCTGCCCGACCCTTTGCCGCGGTTGCAGACCGAGATCCGCGCCGCCACCCCCAACAGGTACCGGCGGGGCACCCCGAAGCTGCGATGAACCTCGGGGGCCGGGGCCGCTCCACCGGCACTCCGACCCCCCGGCCCCCCCGATTCCTCCCTCCCGCCCGTCCGTGTCCCGGTGCGGGCATCTCGCGCCCCCCGTCAGCGCGGCACGAAGCGCTCCCAGCCCTCAGGGTCCCGCCGCCCTCAGGTACCGCTACTACCAGAACGTCTGCGCCCAGAGCTACTCGTACGCCTGGTGGGACTGGGAGCGCTGGGAGCGCGAGATCGACTGGATGGCACTGAGCGGCATCAATGCGGCGCCCGCCTTCGCCGGGCAGGAGGCGCTGTGGCAGCGGGTGGGTGCCGCGCGGGGCGGGCGGGGCGTGGCGGGCGGCGCGGGGCTGACCCGAGGCCGTGCAGGTTTACCGCACGCTGGGGCTGAACCAGAGTGAGATCGACGCCCACTTCACGGGGCCGGCGTTCCTGGCGTGGAACCGTATGGGGAACTTGCACGGCTGGGCCGGGCCGCTGCCGCGTGCGTGGCACCTCCAGCAGCTGTACCTGCAGGTATGGGGGGACGGGACGCCCCGCCCTGGTGTTTCCCGGCCCCGTTCGGGGCGCGGGGCTCCTCTCCCAGCTCTCTCCCCCTCAGTACAGGATCGTGGAGCGGATGCGTTCACTGGGGATGACCACGGTGCTGCCGGCCTTCGCGGGCCACGTGCCGCCGGGGGTTCTGCGGTAAGTGGGACTGAGGGTGGCTGCTCTGAGTCGCAGCCCTGCGCCCTGCAGGACCCTGCCTGCGTCCCTCCATGAGGCCCCCAGGCCTCATCCTGCTGCCAACCCCCATCCCATCCCCACTCAGGGTCTTCCCGCGCATCAACGCCACACGCCTCGGGAACTGGAGCCACTTTGACTGCACGCTGTCCTGTGCCTACCTGCTGTCCCCTGAGGAGCCCATGTTCCAGGTGATTGGGACACTCTTCCTGAAGGAGCTCATCAAGGAATTTGGCACTGATCACATGTACAGCGCAGACACCTTCAACGAGATGAGCCCGCTGTCCTCTGACCCCGCATACCTGGCGGGCATCACCAATGCCGTATTCAGGGCCATGACGGGAGGTGGGTCGCTGCGAGGCCGTGCTGTGCAAGCTTGAGGCCCCACCACAGCTGCCTTTGGGACTGTGGCTGCCGTGCTCACTTTGCTCTCTGCCCGCAGCGGATCCCCAGGCACAGTGGCTGATGCAGGGGTGGCTCTTCCAGCACCAGCCGGCCTTCTGGCAGCCGCCGCAGGTGCAGGCGGTGCTGCGTGCTGTGCCCCTGGGCCGCATGATCGTCCTCGACCTCTTCGCTGAGTCCAAACCTGTCTACGAGTGGACCGAGTCCTTCTATGGGCAGCCCTTCATCTGGTGCATGCTGCACAACTTTGGCGGCAACCACGGCCTCTTCGGTGCCGTGGATGCCATCAATCGCGGCCCTTTTGTGGCACGGCGCTTCCCCAACTCCACCATGGTGGGCACAGGGCTGGTGCCCGAGGGCATCGAGCAGAACGACATGGTGTACGAGCTGATGAATGAGCTGGGCTGGCGCCACGAGCCCCTTAACCTCTCTGTGTGGGTATCCCGCTACGCCCAGCGCCGCTACGGGGCCCCCAACGCCGCCGCCAGTGCCGCATGGCAGCTGCTGCTGCGCAGCGTCTACAACTGCACCGGCGCCTGCATCAACCACAACCGCAGCCCGCTGGTGCGCCGCCCGTCCCTGCACATGGACACGCAGCTCTGGTACAACGCCAGCGACGTCTTTGAGGCGTGGAGGCTGCTGCTGAGCGCCGGCACCGCGCTGGGCTCCAGCCCAGCCTTCCGCTACGACCTGGCTGACGTGACGCGGCAGGCGGTGCAGCAGCTGGTGGGCGATTACTACCAGCGCATCCGAGATTCCTTCCAGCGCCGCGCGCTGCCCGAGCTGCTGGCGGCCGGCGGGGTTCTGCTGTACGATCTGCTGCCCGAGCTGGATGCGCTGCTGGGCTCCCAGCGCCTCTTCCTGCTGGGCCGAATGCTGCAATCCGCCCGCGCCGTCGCCACCAGTGAGCATGAGGCTGAGCAGTACGAGCACAATGCCCGCAACCAGGTGACGCTGTGGGGGCCCAGCGGGAACATCCTGGACTACGCCAACAAGCAGCTGGCAGGGCTGGTGCTGGATTATTATGGGGTGCGCTGGACCCTCTTTGTCTCTCTGCTGGTAGAGAGCCTGAACACGGGCAGCCCCTTCCACCAGGAGCAGTTCAACCAGGCTGTCTTCCAAGTGGAGAGGGGCTTCGTTTACAATGAGAAGCGCTACCCTGCGATGCCTGTTGGTGACACACTGGAGATTGCCAGGAAGATCTTCCTCAAGTACTATCCCAGTGCCACACAGCATGGCTGGGACGGGCCCCCCTGATGTGGGGTTGTGCCACTCAAAGCCCCCCAGGAGGAGGGCAGAGCCCCCACACCTGAGTGCTGCACCCTTGTGACCAGCGCCAGAATGAAGGAGCTGAGCACCCGCGGGAGCGGCCTGCATCCCAGAGGATGGGAATTGCCCCAGGGGCTGCTGCAGCCCAGAGACCTGCTTGATCCTGCCAGCACCCAGCCTGCCCCGTGCTGGGCTGCCCACAGAGCATGGAGGCGCAGGAGTGGGGCTCTGCTGCCCCACTGGAAGCTGGGTGGTGCCCAGGCAGGAGCTGGTGAGGGCTGGAACAGCAAAATATGGGTCCCCGGGGCAGCCTTGGGAAGACTGTGGTGCTCCAAGGGCAGCCCCAGTTACACACAGTGCCTTTGTATTGAAAGAGATTCTGCCAGGCTCCCTATGGCGGGCTTTTCTCTGTCTTTTCTTCCCAGTACTGGCGGTCAGCACGAGGGGCTATTAAAGCCCTGGGTGCTTGGTACCGTTGGGCTCCTCTGTCTGTCTCTGCTGCCCTCCAGCACGCAGTTTGTTTCTAATGAGCTGAAGGAAGCAGCTCATGACCCACACAGAGGGAATGTGGGTGGTGTGCAGGGAAAAAGTACCACAGGATGTGGGGCAGCTCGGGGCCGTCCCAGGCTGGTGCAGGGCTGGGGGGATTGTGGCAGCAGCGTGGGGTCCTTATCGCCTCAGCTGCAGGTGGAGGGCCTTGAGATAAGCAGGCAGACACAACACGGCGGGTGGGTGGGAGGGAGCCCAGCCTTTAAAAGCCACGCGGCCCCGCGTCCAGCAGTGTCAGTTGTGGAGAGAACCGCGGTGCCCATGGAGAAGACCACAGTGCTGATCACCGGCTGCTCCTCGGGCATCGGGCTGGGGCTGGCAGTGCGCTTGGCGGCCGACGATTCCCGCAGGTTCAAAGGTAAAGGGATGATGCCGTGGGTGCGGGTCCCAGCACTGCGGGGCACAGCACGGCTGCGCTCTCTCCACAGTGTTTGCCACTATGCGTGACCTGGCCAAGGGTGAGCAGCTGCTGGAGCGTCTGGGGGGCCGCTGCCCCGACACGCTGGAGCTGCTGCAGCTGGACGTCACCGACCCGCACTCGCTGGCTGCGGCTGTGCGCTGCATGCAGGGGCAGCACCCAGACGTGTTGGGTACGGCACCTTCCCCAGGGCACAGCCGGGAGCGGGGAAGCCAATATGGGGATGGGCCTGGATGGCACTGCAGCCCTGGGGATGGGTGTGCTGGGGCACGGAGAGGATTGGGGCTGGGTTCCCACGTCCCTGTATGCAAACAGTGCTGGGGTAATGTGACACCTGCTCACCAGCACCGTACCCCACAGTGTGCAATGCAGGGGTGGGTTTGATGGCCCCCCTGGAGATGTGCTCGGAGCAGGCCATGAGAGCAGTGTTCGAGGTGAACGTCTTTGGCACCGCACGCACCATTCAGGCCTTCCTGCCCGCCATGAAGCGCCGCCGCAGCGGGCGCATTCTCGTGTCCAGCAGTGTCGGAGGGCTGCAAGGTGGGCATGGGGCCGCCCGCGGGGCTGCAGGGGGAGAGACGCAGCTCTCAGCTGCTGCTCCGCCCCAGGGGTGCCCTTCAATGCCGTGTACTGCGCCAGCAAGTTCGCGCTGGAGGGGCTGTGCGAGAGCCTGGCCATCGTTCTGCGGCCCTTCAACATCCAGTGAGCGCCGTGGGGTGAGGTGCGGGACCCGTGATGGGCTGTGAGTTCAGGGGCGCTGCTTTCCCGTAGCATGACGCTGGTGGAGTGCGGCCCGGTGCACACCGCCTTCATGGACAACGCGCGGCGCGCCGACCCCGAGGGCCACGAGCTGCGGGCGCTGGACGCTGAGACGCAGCAGCTGTACCGCCGCTACCTGCAGCACTGCGCGCAGCTGTTCCTCGACGCCGCCCAGGAGGTGGACGAGGTCCTGCAGGTCCGCGGGGTGGGCGCCGGGTGGGGCTGTGGGGCGCACAGCGGGCGCTGAGCTGAGCGGCGCCGCGGTGCAGGTGTTCCTGGAGGCCATCGCCGCCCCGCGACCGCCGCTGCGCTGCATCACCGCGCGGCTCCCGGCCCCGCTGGCGCGGCTGAGGCCAGGCGGCCCCGACGGCGCTGACTATGTGCGGGCCATGCACGACTTCGTCTTCGGCCCCGGTGAAGCCGCCGAGGAGCAACCGTGAGCGCGGCCCCGGGATGGCCCCGGCAATAAAGCCTCGTGCCTGCGGCTGCGGTCCGGCCTCTTGCTGAGGGGCGGGGATTGGGCACGGGAGGACGGCACCGGGACCGGGGGGGGTGGCATCGGAGCTGTCGAATGAGCGCTCCCGGACCAGGGGCCCCACAATCCCGGCCCGCCTCCGCGGCGGCCGCGTCGCTCCCAACTACAAAGCCCGGCGCAGCGCGACGGGGGCGGGGCGGTGGGAGGGGCCGTGACGCGTTCGGGGTCGGTGCGATCTTCCGGCGGGGCCATGGCGCCGTTCCCGTCGGGGCTGTTGGTGCTAACGGCCCCGCTGGGCGCGTTACCGCGGCGGGCGGCGGCGGCGCTGGCGGAGGCGGCGGGGGTGGTGACGGGGCCGCTCTACGTGCACCTGCAGCCGGGGCTGCGCCTGGACGGCCCCGCGCCGCGCCCCTCCGCCCCCCCGCCCGCCGCCGCTCTGCTCCGCGCTTTGGCCGCGCTCTACGCGGCGGCGGCGGCGCACCGGGGGTTGGACGTGCGGGTTTTGCTGGGCCACGGACACCGCCTAGCGCGGCCGCCCCGTGTGCTGCTGGCCGACGGTGGAGCGGGCGACGCGGAGCCGGTGCGGGTGGCGCTGCGGGAGTTGGCCGCCGCCGCCTACGGCTGCCCGCCCGGGCTGCCCGCGCTGTTGCTGAGCGGCTCCGACGGCTCCGAGGCGCTGCCCAACGGCTCCGGCGCGGAGCTGCCCGCGTATCCCGACGTGGCTGTCGGCGGCACCTTCGATCGGCTGCACGGCGCCCACCGGCTGCTGCTCAGCGCCTGCTGCCTGCTGGCACGGCGGCGGCTGCTGGTCGGGGTGGCCGATGGGGAACTGCTGCGCCGTGAGTGCCGGGAGAAGGGGGCCGGGGCAGGCGCGGTGGGGAGCGGGCAATGCCTGCGGTGATGGTGGTGTAGACGGGCACAGCGCTGTGCTCGCCGGAAATGGGATGAGACGCAGTGGGGGGCTGAGGGCCTCCCCCGGGCTAGGGTCTGGGAAGGCATCCGGGTGGCTCAGAGTGCTCGGGCACTGCCGGTGGGAGGGGATGTGGGTCAGCGTCGGCGGCGGGCACTGATTATGGGGACAACCCAGACCCCACAGCTGCTGTCCTTCCCTGCAGACCTGTGGGGCCCTGTGGGCAGGATGGTGGTGGTGGTGGGGCACCACTGGAGGGTTCCTACCGTAGAACCATTTGCTCTGCCTCTCTCACTGTTCATCACTGCACGCTGTTGCAGACAAGGTCCTGCGGGAGCTGATCGAGCCCTACGAACTGCGGGCGGCCAAACTGCGTGAGTTCCTGGCAGATGTGAAGCCTTCAGTGCTGTATGACATTGTGCCTCTGGGCGACCCCTACGGCCCTGCAGTCACGGACCCGGAGCTGCGCTGCATCGTTGTCAGCGAGGAGACGCGCAGGGGCGGGGAGGCCGTGAACAAGAAGAGGATCGAGAATGTAACTGGAGGGGCTGAGATCTCTGGGCCCCAAAGTTTCGTTTGGGGGGCTCAGTGGTGTCCCCTCCTGGCAGGGCCTCGCTGCGTTGGAACTCTTCGAGATCGAGCTGATGGAGGACCCTTACCACGGCCACAATGAGGAGGAGAAGATCAGCTCCTCCAGCCTGCGACAGCGGCTGCTCGGCACGTTGCTTCGGCCCCCACGGGTAGGGGGAGCTGCTGGGGGCTGGGAGCTGCAGGACCAGCGCCCGTCTGACCCTTCCTTCCCCAGGACAGCCCCACGCTCCCCCCCCGCCCCTACATCATCGGTCTGACCGGGGGCAGCGGGAGTGGAAAGACCTCCATCGCCCAACGCCTGGGGCAGATGGGAGCATTCCTCATCGATGCCGATGCGCTGGGCCACGCCGCATACCTGCCTGGCAGCCAGGCCCATGGGCATGTGGTGGCTGCATTTGGGGCAGGTAGGGCCGGGTGAGCCGGGAGGTGCTGTGGAGGTGTGAGTTGGATTTGTTTCTGCTCCCGAACCATCTCCCTCTGTCTTACAGAGATCTTGAACAAAGATGGAACAATTAACAGGAAGGCCCTCGGAGCAAAAGTATTTGGAAACCAGGTATGAGCAGCAGAGGGAATGTCAATATTTAACCTCCTGAGCAGGGAACTCTGTGCTGGGGCTTTGATTTTCAGCCCTTTGAGCTGGTGCCACATTCCTGCTGCAGTGGCATACAGCAAATCAGCAGCCATGCAGAATGCACAGTCCAGGCAGCAGCTCCTGTTGCTCCCCTAGCTGTAGCCCCCTCCGTCCATCCAAGCTTGTCCCTTGTGGACCCCCAGGACCTCTGGGAGGACCCCTGACACCACTGTGGTTCCTTTGCAGGAGCGGCTGAAGAGCCTCACAGGCATCGTGTGGCCGGAGATCGCGCGGATGGTCAGGGAGCAGATCGGAGAGGCGAGAGCTCAAGGTAAGGGGTGGCTGTGAGGAGCACAGTGGGTGCTGGGTGCACGGTGCTATGCTGCTCTGGGGCAGCTGCTGCTTTGGGTAGCACATGGAGTATCTTCCAGCTCACAGCTGCTCTTTACTGGAGATTTTCACTCCCCTGAGTGCATTTGTAACTCAGACTTCCTGTTCTGAACTGGAGCGGGCATTGCCTTCTTTCTCTTTTTTGGTTCAATGCCCCTTAGCGAGCATGGTGTGTGCAGAATCATTTTCTTTGCTGGGAGCTCAATGGGAATCCCGCATCGGGCAGCGCTGCCCCTCCCATGTGAGGTTCTATGGGGTCTGTTCGCTGCTGGCGTGCAGGACAGCATGAGCGCGAGTGGCCACACCGGCCCCCAGGAGCGCCCGTGCTGCCCTGGAGTTGCCAGGTGACGAGGAACGGCTTCGTTCCGTAGGAAAGGCTGTGGTCGTGCTGGATGCCGCCGTGCTGCTGGAGGCCGACTGGCAGGAGATGGTGCACGAGGTGTGGGTGGCCATCATCCCTGAGGAGGAGGTGAGTGAAGCCCGCTGGCTGCCTTTGGCCGCACGGCCTTCCCTGTGAGCCCCGTGTGTCACCTCGTGGTCCCCGCAGGCCGTGAAGCGCATCGTTAGGAGGGACGGGCTGAGCGAGGAGGCTGCCCGCAGCCGGCTGCGGAGTCAGATGAGCGACAGCCAGAGGGTGCAGCAGGCGCAGGTGGTGCTGTGCACGCTCTGGGAGCCGGAGGTCACCCGCAGGCAGGTGAGCCGCGGGCCGCTTCCGACGGCACTGGGAGCGGAGAGGAGAAACGGGAGCTCGGCGGCGGGGTTGCCGCCGGTCGGAAACGCAGCAGGGAGGGACGGACGGCGCCGAGCTCCGCGTGCGGCGCTGCTGATGGCGTTTCGTCGGCAGGTGGAGAAGGCGTGGGAGCTCCTGCAGCAGCGCCTGAGCCGCGCGCCCGCGGGGCCGCCCGCCAACTGAGCGCCGCCGGGACGGGGGAAGAGCGGCGGCCGCGTCCCGGCACCGGGCGTGAGTCGGCACGGAGCGGCCGGACCCCACGGGACTGGGACCGCTGCCCGCTGCGCCGGAACGGACCGGAAGCGCCGCGGCTCCGAGAGCTGAGCCCGACCCGCCGAGCGGCGCGCACGGTTCCGCGCACCGTGAGCCCGCGGCCGAGAGGCGGTTAAAGCGCGCTTCCTCTCTCTCGGTGTCCGTGGCTCTTTGTGTCCCGTCTCGCCGCAGCGCTGCCCGCAGGCGTGCGGGGCGCCCCCTGGCGGTCCGGAGGACTGCACTTCCCGGCGGCCCCCGCGGTGCTCACGTGACCGGGGCGGGGGGAAGATGGCGGAGCCGCCCGGCGCCGCGGCGGAGGAAGCGTGGGGGAAGGTGAAGGCGGGGCGGGCAGCGGCGGGCCGAGGGCGAGGGATTGTAGGCGGGGGCGGCGGGCGGCCCGCGGGGGGCGGAGGCCCGGAGCGCCGCTCCGTCCGCTGACCGCCGCCCTCCGCCCGCAGGTGGACGCTGCGTACGGGGACAATGGCCCGGAGCCGGGTAGGTGCCGCGGGGCGCGGCGGGGCGGATCCCGGGGCCGCTCCTCTGAGCCGCTCCTCTGAGCTCTCTCTCCCCGCAGCGCTCTTCATGGACAGCGCGCGGAAGGGCAGCGTCGTGTCCCGCGCCAACAGCATCGGTTCCACCAGCGCCTCCTCCGTGCCCAACACCGGTACGGGGCCGGGGCGGCGGCGCTCCGAACTGCGAGCGGGGCGGCTGCGGGGCTCCCGCAAAGACACGCGGGGCCCTCGGGGCAGGCCCGGCCCGGCGCTCACTCGCGGTTCTTTCCGCAGACGACGAGGACAGCGATTACACCCAGGAGCACTACAAGGAGTCCTACAAGGACCAGCGCCGCCGGGCGCACACGCAGGCGGAGCAGAAGAGGCGCGATGCCATCAAGGTACCTCAGAGGCACCGCGCTGCTCCTTTTACGCCTTTTCCCTTTTGTTTCGTGCCGGATCCGCTCCCCTCAGCCGCGTGTGAGCCGGGAGCCGCTTTTGTCTGTGGTGGGAGCTGGGATGTGGGTCCGTACCGCAAACTTCCGTGGAACCGCTGCCCCGTGTGGCGCCCCGTGTCCCTGAGCCGTGGCTCTGCCCCCTGTAGAAAGGCTATGATGACCTGCAGGCCATCGTGCCCACCTGCCAGCAGCAGGACTTCTCCATCGGCTCCCAGAAGCTGAGCAAGGCCATCATTCTCCAGAAAAGTGAGTCTGAGTGCGGGGAGGTGGGAGGGCTTTCTCTCAAGCCCCCAAACACCTCAACGCAGGGATTCTATGTGACTGCCTCAGGGAGCCCTCCTTGAGGAGATCAGAGGGGCTTCCGTGTGCTCGCAGCTTCTTACTCTGTATTTTTGTGTTCAGCCATTGATTATATTCAGTTCCTGCACAAGGAAAAGAAGAAGCAAGAAGAGGAAGTTTCTACTCTCAGGAAAGATGTGATGGCCTTGAAGATAATGAAAGTGTAAGCAAGAAGCTATTTGGTTGCTGCCCTCTTCTTCCTGCTGTTTTTCCCCATGGTCTGGGCTCAGTGCTTTGCAGGCAGTCTGGCTCCTGGGGATCGTACCAAAGCTGTACCACTCTGCTGTTGTCGTTTCTTCTCTGTTTGTTAGGAGGTCTGACTCAGATCAGTTGGTAGAGTTAAGTATGGAGACGGTTTCAGGTTTGAAAATGAATCTGCTTTCAGTGTCATGCTTCCCAGCATTTATTTTACTTGCAGGATCTGCTGCAGACTCGTTCTCCTCTCCATTTCTGAAGCTGTTCTCAGCGTCCAGTTGTTGCTCAGGCGCTGGGGAGTACGAGGCTTCACGGCAGCACTGAACCCAGCTCTTGTTTTGTTTCAGGAACTATGAGCAGATTGTGAAAGCTCACCAGGACAACCCAAGTGAGGGGAAGGACCAGGTCTCTGACCAGGTGAAATTCAATGTTTTCCAAGGCATTATGGATTCCCTCTTTGAGTCCTTTAATGCCTCCATCTCAGTCACGAGTTTTCAGGAGCTCTCAGCATGTGTCTTCAGCTGGATTGAGGAGCACTGTAAGCCCCACGTGAGTACAGCAAACACGGGTGGGTTGAGGCAAGGGCAAAGGGTGTTGTGCACAGCTGCGTCCAGCTGGAGTGCAGGCCCATGTGCAATTTTCCTTTCTCCTGGGGCAACTTTCCTTTCTCCTGTGTGGCTGACACTGGACTGGGGCATGGGAGCTCGGGTCCCTCTCATCCCCAGCTGCTTGCTGAACTGGTTTGGTAGTGAAAGCCAGACAGTGAAAAACAGAGCTTAGAAAGACGGTCCTTGTTCCCCAAGACACCTAGAAGTTTGGAGGGAATTAAGAAGGCTTTGTTAGAAGGGAGTTGTATGGGCAAGGCTAGGTCCTTGTTGTGCTGTGACTGCATGGAGCCCTGCAGCCTGACAGCATAGACAGGTGATCATTTCCCATACGCGTTCTGTGGGCATTGGCACCAGGTGTGCTAGCCGTAGCATTGAGCCTGGGAAGGACTTTTCCTCCCCTGGACGACTGACTGTCTCCTCTCTGCCCCAGACTCTACGGGACATCGTCATCGGGGTCCTGCACCAGGTGAAGAGTCAGCTGTACTGAGCATTCCCTCACTGGAGCACCTTGGACTGGGTGGCAGGTTCCAGGAGAGGCTGGTCCATCTCCCTTGTGGTTGTCCTCAAAGCTTCTCCGATTATTTATTGTCACTACAAAACCAAAACAAGGCTGTGCAAGCATCTCTGCTTCACGGGTACTGTCACAGTCAACATCACCAAATACTGCTAAGGATTTAGCAAAGGGAAAGAAAAAAGTGTGTACTGAATGTGTATTGGAATGTGTACTGGTCTTTAAACTTGCTGGAGTCTTTAGCTCAGGCAGGTGTGTTGCAGTTGGGTTTGCCTGTGCCACTGACTCCAGTGCTGCAGCTGAGCTGGTGAAACAGATCTGGTCTGTAACCTCAGACCTGATACAAACCCTTTTGACCCTGGGAGCAGGGAGAAATAAGGAGAGACCAAAAGCTGTTGGTCTCTGCTAATGCAGATTAGGAATAGGGTTCTCCTGCAACTGCAGGCTTCCAGTACCTCCCTCTGAAACAGTTCTTAGAAAAGCAAGAGGCTGCTTTTAACTTCTAGATGGTTTGGAGAAAGCCCAGGAGAACTGAGGGAAGGGTGAGCATGTCACTGCCAGGGAGATGTGGGGCAGCAGCGAGTTCTCATGCTGGAAGGAGTGCAGTGGGGCTGTGCTGTCCTGACCTCCTCAGTTGTAACTTTTAACACCCCTGAATGGGAAAAGGGAGTGAGCTTTTTTTGCAGTCTTTTCCTGCTTGTGCTGCTGAGTGCTGAGTTGCCCTGGCCTCGTCTTTTTCCGGGTTGTTTTGTGGCCACACTGAACAGAAAAGTAGTTTAGTAGCTGCAGCACAGCACTGCTGAGTTCTCACTGCTGTTCCTTAGCACCATAATTTTACGTGAGTGTATATATTTATAGACATGTAACCAGCTTTGATTTTATTTTATAATCACTGAAATCATTGTAAAGTATTATCAGTGCCAGTTCTGCAGTGTCTGACTTGCCACATGCTGCTGCTGTCAGCGTGATTCAATTAAACAAGCACAATGAGTGCATTGGACAGCATCATCCTCCGTGGCACTGATACACACAGCAGGGTTTGTTCTCTGATCATGTTCTTGCTACCACTCCACCAGTAGCAATTATTTATTTTCCAGTTTTTCCACTGTAGATGAGGTAATGCTAAATTTCTCAGCTCCGGGTTGCTTGATTTGGATGCTGCAGCTTGAGATTGTTTAAGCTATTAAATGAAGAAAAGCATTTTGGTGGGGTTGCTTTTTTTTTTTTTTTTTTTTTTTCCCATACAAAATTATTTTTCAAGCCTTGTGACCTTTTCAGTATAATACAATAGAAGCCCAAGAGGAGTCAAACCCTGTGGTGTTGCACAGAAGTGATGGCGCATACAGGGGCAGACATGTTGCTGGTAGGTGTTGCCCTGTGATGGAAATGACTCTGTTGTGGAGGGACAGACAAGTCAACAGCCACGTGGCACGGCTTAATTTCCCTTAGATGCAACCTCTTGCCTTGTGAGGAAGATGTGGATTTTTACAGACCTCATGTGTGAAAGTGACATATTTTTCTATTGTGAAAAATAAATAATTTTTGCTGAACGTTTTAAGGGCTTTTCTGCTTTTATTTCCATTGCTGTGTACGTGGAGACTTTAATGGGATCAGGCAGGAGATGGACCCGCAGTGCACAGCAGCCCAGCCACCGCTGCAGCTCACGTTACCAGCACAGCACATCCTCCTGGCTCTCGCCTTCCCCACCAGCCAGGGCTGCTGTGCCTGAACCACATCCAAGGCCAGCCCTGCTGCCTTCTCAACACAGAAGATGCCACAGCAGAGCACATCTGAAACAGAAGCAGGGTGTTCAATGAATCGGTCCTGCGTACAACTCGGTGCAGGCCATGGGCAGCAGTCCCCTCCACGTGTGAATTGCAGAAATAGTGGCCATACTGCTAACTACTTCCTTCACCTCTCTGAGGCACCTGCTTCCTGCTCTTACCAGAACACCACATCTCTAAGCCAGTGCTCTTAAACCCTCCCAGCCACTGCCCGGTGAAAACACCCACCCAAAACAGCCTATAGCACTGAAAGGTAAGAAAACAACGTTCCCTCGGTACATGAGAAAGGGAGAGGGTCCACTGCTGAGTCAGTTGCTCTAACTACCCTTCCAAGGGCAAAGCATTTTTAAACAGAACTGTATCAAGGATGTAGGACAAGCGCAAGCCCTGAAAAAAATTACAGAAGAAAACAAATCTAAAACCCAACAACAGCTTAATCATCAGTTCCACTGCAGCGTGCTCTCTGTAAAGGAAGGCCAGCCATCTGCACCTCACACAGCTGCTGGGAGCGTGACGTTGTGGTCCTCGTCGGTTTCTATTCCGACTTCCTCCTGTGCAAGGACAAAGTGCTCCTGTAGCAGACAGCTGCCCTCTGGCACAGCAGGCTCAGCCGTGCTGGGACGCAGACAGAGGGGTGGGGCTTACAAAGAACTGCTTCTTGCTCTTGGGGTATCCCTCCAGGATGGCGTCGAGCAGCTCGGTTGCCTGGCAGGGAAGTTAGATGAGATTTGCAGGAGTAATGCTGAGCTTTCTGCCACAGCTGTGGGATGCTGCCTCCCATACAGGGAGCCAACACAACTGTTCCCACATTATCCCCTGCACAGGGATGCAAGAACTTGTTTTGCTTCCTCAAGAACAAATAAAATAATCAAGAACATCTCATATTTACACATTACAGCAACGTGGCCTTTAACAGAGGATCTCAGTGCATCTAGTCCCAGCGGTTCTTGTGGTGGCACTCAGCACAGAGCTCCACTTAAAAGTTACTGATTGTGGAAACTTCAAGAAAATGCTGTCCCATAGCCTGGATAAAGCTCCCCAAGATAATCTGCAGATTGTGCCTGCTCCACCATCACCGTGGCCACTGACACTTCTGCCCACCCCACGTTCAATGGGGAAACCATTACCATCCGCTTCCTCCTCCGCCACTCCTTGCAGTACAGTTTCTGCTCGCTGCAGACCTGCCAAAGGCAAGGCAAAGTGAGAACAACTCAGCAGCCATACATCGAGCCTCTGTAAGCTCAAAGCCAGGAAACATCTGAATTCAAGGACATCACACACCCCAGCTACAGCCAGAGTGTTTTCAGGCAGCAGAACTGATTCCTTGGCAGGAACATGAACTGCTTTCTGAAATGGCCCACCAGAAACAGGAAGAAATTGAGTTGATAGTGCCTAACAACTGGCCAGAGGTTTACAAGGAAAGGACAGCTGAGGCTATTAAAGCTGCCGTAGAGTGTGCTCCCCACCACAATTCAGACATGGGCTCTGCAGGACCCACGTGGGAACAGCCCAGGACTAAAGCAGTCTGCTTCCATCCCGGGGTCAGCCAGGCCAGGTAAAGCAGCCAAGCATTTGCTATGAGCAGCCTCAATGTGGACTGCACTGTACATTCCTCCCAACCCCCCCCAGCTCTTTACTTTCTCTTTTTCTTCTGGCGTTACTCGGTTGGTAGCAGACTTGATCCTCTCCAGTCTCTCTGTGTAACTGGCGCAGTCCTTCCTCAGCTCCTCAACTTCACGGGCCATGTCCGCGGTGGTCATAGCGCCGCTCAGGTCCTTCAACTCTGGAGGGCAGCGGCGATCACCGGGACGGCCGGCAACCACGGCGCAGCCGCCGCGGGCGGTGCCGGTGCGGCAGGGCAGGGGCCGCGCTCACCTGCCTCCAGCTGCCGGCAGCCCTGCAGCAGCGCCTGCACCTCGGCGGACCTCGCGGCGATCTCCGCGTCCAGCACGCGGAGCTCCGCATCGCCGGCGGCCGGGAGCTGCTCCTGGAGGCGGGAGGGCGGGCGCTCAGCGGAGCCGAGGGCAGTGGGGCTCGGCCGGGCCCGGGGCTCACCTGGTCGGCGAAGTACACCTTCTGCTTGCCGTAGGCCTTCTCACGGACGCGGCCCTGCTGCGCCAGCTGCTCCAGCGCCTTCACCACGGCCTGAGCGAGCGCGCCGTCAGCCCCGCGCCGCCAGCCCCGCTCTCCCCGGCTCCGCCGCGCCTCGCCCGGCCCGCTCACCGCTTTGCCCAGCCCGTGCTCCCGTTGCAGGTTCCCGAAGACGTCCTGAGCGCTGTACGGCCGGTTCTGCTCCCGCAGGTAGCGCAGCAGGACAGCGGTGGCCCCTGCGCGACACGGCCGCTGTCACCGTGCCCGCTCAGGTCCAGTCCGGTCCCGTCCCGCCCCGCCCCTCACCGCTGCCCGCCGCGGGGCCTTCGCGCCCTTTGCTCATCTTCTTCCCGCGCCACGCTCAGGCGGTGTGACGCACTTCCGGCGCGACGCACGGCGAAAGAGCGGGACTTCCTGTCCCGACCCGCCCGCAGCGCTCCTGCAGTTCCAGTGTCGTTCGGCGCTGTGGAGATTGATGGAAGGCCGCTCCTCGGCAGACGCTTTAATGTTAACTCGCACGATACGGGACAGCTTTAAAAGGCGGAGTTGGGAATTAAGTAAACCGGCGAAGAGAACCACGTGTGTTTTGCGGGCCTCTAAACTCGAACCGAGAGCCCCGCGCCTGCGCTCTGCCGGGGGCCCATCTGCTGCTCCCAGAACATTTCCCCAACGCCGCCATTTTTGCACAGCGGCACCTCCCCCCATCCCAGCTCGGTTCCCGTAAGAGCCTCTGGGGCAAAGAAAAAGAAGCAGAGGAGATTGAGATGGGGCAACCCTCCCCCGGAAGCCGGGGAGACACGAGAGGGACAGAGGGAGTGAGAGGCCGTCCCGCAGAACTCAATTATCACAAAATGAAAGAAGAATCCGAAAACGAAACAAGAAACTTTAATTCCACAAGTGAGTGCTGAGCACATCTTCTGTCTCACTCAGCTCTGCTAGGGAGTTGTGACAGGCTTTTTACTTCACACTGCAAAGTAGGCTGACATTTTATCAGACGACAGCTTGGTCTTGCAAGGCCCAAATGCAGATTTATGCTTGTATAAAATAAAGCCTCCACCTCAGTCATAGCTGAAAAAATCACCTGCTTCTTTAACTCAAGACAGTCCGCACACTGTGTGGCCAACACCTTCAGCTAAGCAGATTCAGACCAAAAAAAAAAAAAAAAAAAAGCACATAGATGGGAGTTTCCCTGAAGAGGTAAGTGATCTGTATCCGTTTCTATGGCTTAGAAAAAGCAATGGGAAAGCTCAATGACTCAGAAAGGGCTGGAAGGCTTGGACACTCCAGCTTCAAGAATGTCTCTCCCCTATGGGTTGCTGGTTTAAGTGACCACAACAAGTAGTTCTTCAGTCACTTGTGACTTGAGCTGCTGTCCTCCATTCAACTCCTGCTGGTAGGCTCTCAACTATACAAAGCTGTGAAACAGCAGGATGTCCTAGAAGCCCAGAACAAAACTGGCCAGGCAGGCCAAGTCTGCTCCTTCCATCCTCCAGAAAATCTCTCCCTAGTAGTTCTCTCGGAGGCAGTGTCAAGGGAAACGTATTGCTACTGTCCATGCTGAACGTGTTCTGGAATAACACAGGAAGTTTTTAGTAAATTGTTAGTCCATTATTTTCAGAAAGCAACACAACTACAGCTGCCACGTGTAGATGTTCTTTGCAGGATTCTAGTCTTCACAGTAGATGTCTTATTGCCATTAAGTTTCTTACAAAATAGCATCACTAGAAAGTTTTAACTGGAGATGAGTGGCCAATAAGTCACAAACATTTGTAGCTGTACACCATCACATTCACAACAGGAGAGGTGTTCATTTCTACCCACAGCTGAATATTGCTGGGAGAGAAGAATTGGGTTTCTGTGTATGTTTTAGGAAGAGGGAATGATTGTCTTAAAGACAGAACAGCATTAAGTCCTAGACATTAAGTCTGAGGGGAAACCAATCCCATTCACCTTATCACATAACAGCCCCAAGAAGATTGGCTTCAAGATTGTTCTCAGTGATGCTAAGTCAGTCTGATTAGTGGTCTTTAGAGCTGCAGACACCAGACTAATTGACATAGGCGAGGAAGTTTGGAGCAAGCAGCATCCTGGCAGGGCAACGCATGAGTGATTGTGGATCAATCACATCAGTGCCTTTTCCCTCTGAATTACCAACATAGTTCATTTTAAAAATCCAAGCGAAGCTACAGAGTCACAGGTCAGTTGACGTCTCAGGCAGGACTGGTAGTGTTATCACTCATACTCACACAAGAGACAATCTAGGTAAATGTGCAATGCTTCTTCCTTCCAGGATTCCCCTCCGTTATGCACAACAGAAAACCAGAAGGGAAATGATGTGATTGCTTATTGGCCCCGTGAGCCAGCAGGATCCAGCTGGTTCAGCTCAGACTGATCCAGAAGTTCAAAGTCATCCCCTTCTGCATCTGTGTCCAAGTCCAAGCTGGCCGTCCTAAGGTAAGTCTTTGCATCTCTGTGGGGATTGTCACTGCGCGAGGAGCCCGGCTGAGTGGCTCCTGACAGTGCAAGTTGTATCATCCCTCTGGTGACAAACCCAGCTATGTTGTTGGTAAGATTCTGTACAGATGGCAGTACACTAGCTTCTTCCTGGTAATAAGGGAGATGTACATCTTCTGTTAGTTGTGGGTGGTAAGCCAGACTTGGGATTCCAATGCTGGTGTCA